CTAAAATTATTGATATAATGCTACTACATCAAAAGTTGCCAAATAATAATAACAGTAAACTATTGCTTGGCATAACAGATACAAAAACAAAAGAAAAAAAGATGATGGAAATAGGCCTGCAGGTGGTCCAGACACTGGAGTCTTCAGACAGACTTTAAAGTGATTTGATTAATATGTTCATGAAAGATGGTCATGTAGAGATGGGGGGGTGTTAAATATATCTTTATTATTTCAGAATACTACATTGAGCAATGCTATAGAAAATGAGACTGGAGTATCTACAGATACAAACACAGTTAAGGCTCTCAGTACATGTGTTATTTACATACAATCAAATAAAAATTAAAGAACTAAATAGTAGTATAATTGGAATTAAGAAACAAGAATTGAAAGCAGGTTGGACAGAGTTGAAATAGAGAATTAGTGAACTAAAACACAGGCAAATAATGGAGGAATTCTGGATAGGGCAGAGAGGAGGGAGGGGAAAGGAGGGGGAATAGGGGCAGGAAAGATGGTGGGATGAGATGGACATCATTATCCTAGGTATCATAGGTATGGTGTGAGGTGTGACTCTACTTTGTGTACAACCAGAGAAGTGAAAAACTGTGCTCTATTTGTGTACTATAAATCAAAATGCATTCTGCTGTCTTGTATAACAAATTAGAATAAATAAATTTTAAAAAACACAGGGGGCTGGGGATATAGATAAGTTGGAAAAATGCTTGTCTAGCATGCACAAGGCCATGGGCTCAATTCTCAGCACCACAAAAATAAAAATAAATAAAACACAGGCAAGCACAACTTATCCAGATGGAACGAGAAAAAAATTACAGAAAAAAAAAACAGAAGAGACATATAGGACAAGACAAAAAGTATAATATTGATTTAATTGGGAATCATAGAGTAAAGGAGGAAAAAATAGAAGAGAAACAATATTTTATGAAATGTCAAGATTTTTTTCAAAAATGATGAGAGTCATATCACTGACTCCAAGAGGTGCCAGAAACCCAAAAAAGAGCAAATACAAAGAAATACATAGGTACATCGTCATAAAGCTTAAGCTAAAACTCAAAGACAAAGTCTTAAAATTGCACAGTCAAGTCACATACATTCCAAGAAGCAGCAACAAGCCTAACAGCTAATTTCTCAACAAAAAAATTTCCCTCCTCCAGCTCTCCCCCTCACCCCCACAAGATTAAACTCAGGGCTCTGAACATCTTGGGACACATTGGCAATTGCTCTACCCTGAGCTGCATCCCCAGCCTCACACAACTTTTGGGAGGAGTTTCTGGAGATTGAACCCAGGGACGCTCTAATACTGAGTTATATCCCCAGCCCTCTTTGAGACAGGGTCTCATTAAGTTGCCCAGGCTGGCCTTCAAACTTGTGATCCTCCTGCCTCAGCCTCTTGAGTAGCTGAGATTACAGGTGTGCACCACCATACTTAGCTCACACAAGAATTTTTTAAGAGAAAGATCTTCCCAAAGTGCACTGATGTTAAAAGCTATTACTTATCAAAGAGGGATGGGGGGAGGAAGGAAGGGAGAAAGTCCTCCATATTAAGATATTTTTATACTGCTAGACTTCTCAGAAACTTATCTGACCACAAAACCTCTTAACAAGCAACAATCTCAGAAACCAGCCATTCACAAATACACAATGGGAAATCATGTGATATTTAATTCTATGAATTATCATTTAAATAAATGTATGTTTCTTAATTCCCAAATTAGGTATAAATTTCAGGAAAAAAAGAGTAAAATATAGGGAAACTCAAGCATACTAAAAAATAAAACGCTATTTCATTACTTTCAAAGTACAAGTGTGCTATCTGTAACTAAACAAGCTTTAACTTTTTTAAAAAAAAGAGAGTGAGAGAGAGAGAATTTTAATATTTATTTTTTTAGTATTTGGCAGACACAACATCTTTGTTTGTGTGTGGTGCTGAGGATCGAACCCGGGCCGCACGCATGCCAGGCGAGTGCACTACCGCTAGAGCCACATCCCCAGCCCCAAGCTTTAACGTTTTTAAGGTCCAAGTAAGTCTAAAGAGTTAAAATAGGAAATGTTTGTTCTTTCCACCTTTGAGAGAAGGAAGGAAATTCTAAGTCCTAATAAAGAAATAGAGATAGGAATTGTTTTTCACAATTTCTCATGTCTTTACCATTAAATGCAAGTGACTTCAATATAAGAATTCTTTCAAATATCTGATTTCACTACCTTTGTGCAGAAGCAGTAAAGCACCATGGTTAAGACCATCAACTGTGGAGCCATACTGCCTGATTTGTTTCACTGAGATATACGAACTCAGGCAAGTTTTAAACTCTCAAGGATCAAATGAGTTAAAATACCTAGTATGTTCAGAGTTTATGAAAGGTATATTATAAGCGTTTACCATTTTGTCATTGTCATATTATTGTCACACACACACACACACACACACACACACACACATCCCAAAAATCCAAATTCATAGGGGAAAAAAAAAGTTTGCTACTTTGTTGAACAATTTCAACAAATGGCTACACCTAAAATGAGACCTATTTAGGAAGGTCCTTAAGATGACTTCCACTGCCAGTAAAGATACTGCTGTATCGTCCTTAGAGGGAATTTTAGGGCAATGGAAAGTCAAATCCTTTAATCCACTTCCTATCATATAAAGTATACCATTCTTAGTTTCTAACAGAAGTTCAGAACCAAGAGCGTTACAATTTAGGCATGGCACACACCAACAGAGCAGACACAAAAAGCTCAAATTCAAGATCCATAAAACTCAACTAATACTCCTTCAAAGAAAAAAAAGTTCAGATTACTCTTCAATTGTAAGTTTATTTTTTTCAGTTAAAATAGTTTACTGCTTTAAAGTTAAAAACTACACCATATCTACCAACAGAATATCATCAGGATTAAATAAAGCACAGTATATGAGAATATTTTCAAGTTTTATATATATATATGTGTGTGTGTGTGTGAGTGTGTGTGTGTATTAAATATTATTTCTATCAATATACTTGAGAAAATTATACTGATAGGTTCCTCCAATTTCAAACAGTTGCCTTCTCTAAAACTAGTTTCTGAACACTTCAAATCAAAAGCCAGAATAACAAGACATAAGTCAGATTAAAGTTGCCATTCACCAAATCATTTGCTGTTTAAAATGTACTCTAAAAATGTCTACACAACAGATGACTTGATAAATTGAGTTATCTGTTATGTAGACATTTTTAGAAAAAAAGTTATGTTTAGAAAAGAAGTTATCTGAGACCAGACATTTAAAGGAATGAGATCCTAAAATTATCCTACCTCGAGGCCAGAAAAACATCTTTACTGGTGTTAGATCAAACAATGCCACCCAATCCCCAAATGTCTGTGATCCTAACTTGAATATAGAAAATGCTGATGCAAAAACAAGTTGGCCCAGAAAATCAGAGGTCAAGTACCTATGGACACATTTCAACTTCGGCTGAGGGTTAGAGTGTTTACCTGGCTCACCCTCAAACTGAAAGCTGGGTTCCAGCATCAATCAGGGACACTGCCATGCAGCAGCCACCGATAGGTAACACAGGCCAGATAAGACCACAGGTCACTTGGCATATTCCACTGAGGCAGATCCTTCTGAATGCCTAACTGCCAACTGTTGACAGGAGGATGGGCTGGCAGTCAAGAGAATTACATTCTTCTAGGTACGCCTTCCTTTTGAAATTCTTGACCCACTTGACTAGAGAAATCAAATTAAGGGATATGTGAAGAATTTTTGAAATATATAAGTAGAAAACTTTGTGAGTATGTTTCACAGATCCCGTCCTTTCATTTATTTAGTAACGTATTATTAATTACTTGTTTTGTTCAAAAAAACCATCTCTGGGCATGTGAGGTGATGGTCCACGGGATATCACCAGCACTTTTCTTCAAGATGTGCAGAGATCTTAAGCCTTACTAGGCCGATTCTCCATCTGCATGTAGAATTAGAGTTAGATCCGCTCCTCCCAAAGATAAGCTAAAGACAGAACTGGTTACGGAAAAGAAGGCATCTGCTACAGAAAAATTTAGAGTAGTGATACAAGGGATGTCTTTTTTAACACCTAAATCAGGGCTCCAGACCAAGTGGGTATTAAAAGTTAAATTCATGGAGGTCAGTAAGCCAGACTTCTGTGTTTACATTTGAATTCCTGGGCGGTGAAAGTGCTGGGTCTCTACACATTCATCTTCTAATGAGCCTTAACGTGCTGGAATTCTTCTGCAAGATCCCTCCTCCCCACTCCCTCTCTTTTTCAGAACTTCCAGTCTAAAGAGAGAGAGAGAGAGAGAGAGACCCTCTGGCCAGTCCTACAACTTCTCCCCGCGCCTGGCGAGGATTCCGAGTCCACAACTTCTCCGCCTCCCGTGACTTCGCCCACTTCTCCTGAGCTAATCACTTTTAGTGACCTCCTCAGGTCTACTCTTCGTCCCGGCAGCAAACGACCGATCGGTCCCCGGCCGCCGGCCCGGGACGACTCCGCGCGTCCGGAGCAGTCCACCCGCGGGCCGGCCCCCGAGAGCCCCGGAGTCCAGCCCTGGCCCCGGGCCGCGGCCCCAAGACCTCGGCAGCCTCGACCCCCCAGTCTCGGCGCAGCGCCGGGCTCCCGCGTCCCCTGCGCCCGACCCGGACCGCCACACGCCTGGCCGCCACCCCGAGCTCGTTCCCCGGACCCTGGCCTCTTCCGGGGCCGCGGCGGGCAGCGCTCTGGGCGGCTGGACTGAGATTCCGAAGGCCGCGCGTCCCCCTCACAGGCCCCGCCTGGGCCTCTCGCCTTAACTACCCTTCATTGCACCCCTGGCTCAGCCATAGATACGCCCTCGAGCGGGACAGCACCAGCCCAGGGCCTGGCACTTACTCGGGAAGGTAGGTGGAGGAGAAGGAGCTCCACTTGTGTAGCGCGTAGGGCAGAAGCCGGCACTCGGGCGCCGCAGCAACAGCCCCACCAGCCGCCATCTTGTCAGCACCGTAGCGGCCGCCACCGACCGCCGACCGCGCCGGGAGGCTGGGCGGGGGCGGGGCCTGCTCTTAAAGGGGCCGCGGCCCGCATTGCCTCCTCCGACATCCGAGGCCAGGGCGCGCAGGTCAGCGGTCTCATCCTAGGGTTTCCCACACTCCCCGCGCCTTGATGGCTGATCGAAGCTGGTCCTGGGGTGTGAGCCCTTGCGGGGATTTTCGGTTACAGGAGTGACGCAAAGGACTTTTCTTACAAGCAGAGGTAAAGATAAAGCCAAGAATATTATGAAAAGAAAGAAATGGTAGTCATGAACCAGTAAGGTAAAAGGAGAAAACCGATTTGGAAAAGGGACGCCCTCGCGGCTTTGAAAACCACCTCTTTAGCCAGTTTGTAAATCCCTTAAGGAAACAGCACTGAAGAGAATTGGAATGCAATCACTAAAATCTTTTTCCTTCTGGAGTTGTCCTGCGGGGCGTGGGGGCAGGGGGTGAGTCACCGTGTACCCAGGTCAGATGGAGTCAGGTAAAGGAAATGCTAGTCTGCCCTCGTAATCCGTTTTCAGTTTGTGATGCCCTTCACTATAAACATTTCTTGTGAGCCCTCTCCTACTAATCTTGTGCATTGGTTTGCTCAGGAATAAATAACGTTAACCCACAGACCAGGAAAATCTGGAGTTGGGATGCTGGGTCATCATTTTCCCAGTTGGTAAATCTGTCCACTTTTAATTCGGAAAGAAATTTAGCCCAAAAGTTCAGAGACCGAAAAGTTCAAGAAAGAGACCTTGTCTTCTTGAAGGGAATCACAGCCCTTGTTCTGTGAAAACCATAAGGACACCATCCCAACTTCTTAGCACAAAAGGAACACTTGGGCTAAATATTTGGCAACTTTAGATAATGCTCCTATCAAGTACCTGTTTATTAGGATTAGGCATATTTATTCTTTGGTTTAGCTACTACAGTTACCAAAGTCTGTGTTACTAATTGTCTAAGAGGTTGGACTCCTGAAAACCTGGATAGTAAATATCATCATCTTCACCTGACGGATGCAGAAACGCAAAGAGTTTTTCCGTGAATATCCAGGTGACTCAGTAATTGTATTTTTTCTGTTATTATCATTAACCTGTCCAAACTCCTCCAGTCCTGTCTTGACTTCCTTTTCCATAGGGAGAAAATTTTAATAGAGGCCTCCGTTAGGATGCCACATCAAAAATGCCAAGTAGAAAGAAAGGTCATATATATAATAACCTTTTATTTTTTTCCAAGTTGCTGAGCCAGGCCTCAAATTTGCAATCCTCCTGTCTAGGCCTCCCAAGTAGCTGGGTTTACAAGCATGCATCACTGCACCCAGTCACATATATTAACTTTTGATAGTGCATGTGTTCTGTATGTTGCACCATGTTGGTTCATTAATCCTTAAAGGATTACTGTAGCCCAGTGACTTTGATTAGGGAACTGCCTGAGATACAGTGGAAAAGGGCCAGAGGAGTTTGGTGCCAGAGATGATCTGTGATTATCTTTGGGAAAAAGAAAGTGAATGAGATTAAGATGTAGACTCACTCCAATTAATTTGGGGCCCAAATTTTGTCAATACCACCTCTTACCATAACATTAGGAAGTAAACTCATTATTTTTCATGATATAGAGTTATGGTTCCTGAGCAATCTTTTTTAAATCTATAAAATCTTTAAGTCTCTTCTTTCTCCTTAGAGCTCTTGTCAAGCAACACTAAACCAGCATGCTGTATTGTTGCCTGTACGTTCTATGTAATCTCTCCCTCCAGTCCTGGAATATTTCCCACCATTTTTCTAGCTAATTCCTACTCATTAATCAGATTGTTTTGTTCTGAAAAATCTATCCTCACTAGGCTTGGTGGCACATTCCTGTAATCCCAGTGACTAGAGAGGCTGAGACAGGAGGATCACGAGTTCAAGGCCAGCCTCAGCAACTTAATGAGACCTTGTCTCAAAATAAAAAATAAAAAGGGCTGGAGATGTGGTTCAGTGATTAAGCATTCCTGGGTTCGATCCCAGGCCTCCATATAAAAATATATAGTCCTCATCACCTATTTTGAGACTAGGTACATTACCATACTATCCTGAGTTCTCCTTCCTTAGATTAACAAACATGCTTAATTTCTTCTTTAGTTTCCATTCTCCATAAAAGATAACTCTCATGGGTATCCTGTTCACAGCTGTATCTTATATCGCTATGCAGGTAGATAGATACTAAAAATATTTGTTGAAGAATGAATGAATGTGCTAAAAGAAAACATGAATTAGAGACTTGTGCATTGCCAAGGGAAAAGAATGCCAAAACTTCTCAGACTGCAGATATGTATCCCTGTGGTATGACTGTCAGCATAGTATAAAGACCCAAGATAGCATGTCTTTCCTAGCACAAATTTCATAAATGGTAAAATAATTTAAAACATTCCTATGTCAACCTGAATCCAGAGAGAGGTATCGATACTGAGCTCAAATTTGTATAATCGTAAAGATAAAGTTGAAGACTCAAAAATTGCAAACTCTGTAGAAAGCTGCTAGTAGCTATACCTTGAGATCTCCTAGAGGTACATCTTTCTTCTGTGTTTGGCAGCATGACTGTAGGTGGTGCAGTGTATGGTAATGACACATAGGGAAGGCCTGGGAATCGACTGTATAGTCTCCCTAGTTCCCTTTCACTTCAAAGATGGGGACATCTCACAGAGAACAGGAGGATCATCAATGGACCTCATTTTTTTCAGGGATCAACAGAGGTTATGGTGATTCAATGGCTCCAGTAATCCAGATATCTTATCAGCTCCCACAGACCTTCTCAGTAGGCTTCTCATATTAAATACTTCCCAATGAGAGTAACTGTGTTTGAGTTTTTGCTGTCCACCTTCTTTTGCTGCAAGAAAGACTAATTGGGAACCTGTGATATGCTAGACCCTGTCCTGGATGCTAGGAAGATAGGAGTTCCTTCATGGAGCTTACGTTCTGGTGGTGAACATATAATTAATAAACAAACAACATAATTTTATAATTTTATTTTTCATTTTTTAATGCTAAAAAGGAGGATAAACCAGGGTAATTTTTTTTTTAGAGAGAGAGAGAGAGAATTTTTTTTTTTTTTTTTTAGTTTTCAGCAGACACAACATCTTTGTTTGCATGTGGTGCTGAGGATCGAACCCAGGCCGCACACATGCCACACATGCCAGGCGAGTGCGCTACCACTTGAGTCACATCCCCAGCCCAACCAGGGTAATTTTGATCAGATGGTAAAGGAAAGCTTCTCTAGGATGGTAATATATGAGCTAACACCTGTACAATGAAAAAGAGCTAGTTGTATGATTTAAAAATTTCAGGCAGAGACTGGGACACTGACTGATATAATAACTTATCCAATAGCTCTTCAGGAATAGAGCCAGAATCTCTTTGGTTCAAAAGCCCATTCTGTTTGTTCATATCACTTTTCTTCTCAAATGAGATGATATATGGGAAGAGATTTTACAAACTATAAAGTACTATCACTTTTCTTCTCAAATGAGATGATATATGGGAAGAGATTTTACAAACTATAAAGTACTACTCCGCTGTAAGACATTGTCAGATGATAATAATAATAATAATAGCCACTAGAATTAAAAAGCATAACAAACACAGCTGAATTTTTTATTTTCAGGCAAAGGAATATACAGTTGGCTGAGGGCAAAGAGTGTTTTTTCATTGTTAAGGAAAGTATCTCATAACTGTTATGCTTCTTAGTCAATTCATATACTGCCATGACAAAATACCTGAGACCGGGTAATTTATAAGGAACAGAAATTTATTTCTCACAGCTCTGGAAACTCACAGTTCTTGAGGGTGGCAGTTCAAGATCAGTATGCTAGCAGGTTCAATGTCTGGTGCTGATCCAGTCTCTCTGCTTCCAAGCTGGCACCTTGTTGCTACATCCTCTGGAGAGGAGGAATGCCGTGTCCTCACATGATGGAAGAGATGGAAAAGAGAAGCCTAGCTAGTACCCTCAAGCCCTTTTATAACAGTTCATCCCATTCATGAGGGAAGAGCCCTGATAGCCTAATTATCTCCTAAGATCACCAATTCTTAATACCATTGCATTGGGGAGAAAAAACAAATAATAATATGCTGGAATAAATCCAGAGCTGTGTACATGAATGGGTAAAATAAGACCCATAATTCATTAGTCAAGGAAGAAGATTTTTCACACCTAAGGATCTTGCTGTAACTCACCAGGATCACTCAAAGTTCATGGCTTCTTTAACAGCTTTCGGTGGTTAGGACAGATGAAGTACAACACAGTATTCAATGTACAATGGTCAGAGCAAACTCTGCTTTAAACGAAAAAAAAAATGGCCCTTAACAATAGTATTATTCAGTAGATGAAGAAACTAGTACCCATATGTTAGCTGTCTTGCCTAAGTCATTTATACACTGAGTTGTTTGTAGATCTGAATCTGGAACCCAGGTCCTTAATTCTCCTTTTTTTTTTTTCCTAATGCACCTGATGGGAAATTTGGAGGTCTGTATCTGCATTATTCCTCTTTAAATCCTCTAAGGCTAACACATAATAGATACTCAAGAAATCTTTCCTGAATTGAATCTCTTAGTATCTCCCGAATTGCTTCTCACTTATTTTTAATTAAAAAAAAAAACAAATAATCATCATTTACAGATGATTAGGGATCATCTGTAAATCCAAAGACTAGGCAGAATTAAAGGCATGCGGCTGTTGATCCAATTTTTTGGTCAGTAAATGATGAAAATCACAAGGGAGATTGAAAGAGTGAATTTGTTCCATTATAATTCCCACTGAGCATTTTTTACATACCAAGAACTTATACGTATTAACTATCTCAACCCTCACAACAGCCTCACAAGTAAACCAAGTCTCTAGGAGGTGTGGATTCACTGAGTTCATGTGTACCCTCTCTTTTATAAAATTCTCAGTTGTATGCATTCCTAACATCACTCAGGATTCAAGGTTCAGAAAGCCAAGAAAGGAATCTGATATATTCCTAAAACTAACAGTTCTGCCTCAATCTTAGTTCTGTTCTCTCCCCATTCCTATACTAACTCATCAAACTTTGTTATTGTTGTCTGAGATCATTTCTTTAAGCATAACATTACCAAAAAAGGGCAAATGAAATACAAAGAATACCAATGTTTTGTTTTCGGAGTAATGAGATATGCCTTGTATTATCTAGGACCCAGGAATTTCAGCCCTGCACCAATGGAGTCTTTGCCCAAGTCACAGGTGAAAATCAGCGTAGCTCCAGGTATGAAGCTAAGGTTTGTCTTCTCCCAGGAGGTGGCAGCAGCAGCAGGCTCAGCCTGCTGGAGAATCAGACAGAACTCATCTGTTTTTCTGTTGGCATCCAAACCTAAAAATGCCTGATTCCAGAGACCATTTTATCCCTTCTTCGGTTTGCTGAGCTTGGTTGGAGACAAGGCATAGGGAAGGAGCTGGCACAGATTCCTCTCTATAAGTACCTATTTTTTTTTTTTTTTAGTAAATATTTTGGTCTGGGCTGTGACCTTGAAGCATGTGTGAAGGAGGGTCAGGAAGTCTCTGGTCAGAGAAAAAGAGCTTCAGAGAGAAACAAATAGTAATTGAAACACTTACATCCGTACTAGCGTACATCCAGAGGACACCAGCTCACGGTTTGGTGCCACATACAAAAAAAATATAGACTCTGACCTCTTCCCAGCTACCAGCCAGCTGACCTTGTCATCGAATCTGTCGGAGCTGCAATATCCTTGTCCACCTACGGGTTCCTGATGAGAATATTAGCACAGGAAATATGCTGGTTAAATTCCCTCCTTCACCCAGTGTGGACCAGGAGATCCTAAAGCACCTGATAATTCTTTTCTTTCCTTCTTTTTTTTTTTTTTTTTTTGGTATCAGTATTGAACCTAGGGGGCACTTAACCATTGAGCAACATCCCCACTCCCTTTTTATATTTTATTTAGAGACAGGATCTCACTGAGGTGCTTAAGGTCTTGCTAAATTACTGAGACTGCCTCCTGCCCCAGCCTCCCCGGTTGCTGGGATTATAGGCATGCAGCAGCACCTGCTAATTCTTAATTTATAAGTTACTGCACCTTTATTTTCTGGATTAAGTGGGGCTGGGTCTTCACCCTTTCAGTATTTTTAAAATCTCAGACACAACAAAGCTTTGCTGGTTCCAAGTTAATTCCATTTGAGCACAAACCCTAGTTTGGCAGATTCTGCCAGCTGCATAGGAGGTGGGCAGAAATCCCAGGAAACGTCTGGACACCACACAGCTATGGATGAACTGTCAGCTGCTAGGTGCTACTTTGCAAATTACCCCATCTAAATGAAGCTAACAAAATGATATTTCAAAAGAGCAATTAACACTGATTCCTAGTGTATTTGAAATTAAAAGGCCTTTGGGGAAGAGTGACATTGGCTCTAAAAAAAAAAAAAAAAAAAAAAAAAAAAAGAGTATCCCAGCCCTCTGGGTAGAAATGTTTAGTTTAAGGAGATTGTTTAGTCGGGACCTTTCTATGCTTTTCTTCCATCACCACAGCCAGAGGGTCAACCTGGTCTTTGTGAAGAATAAGGTAAAACTAGTTCCTCTTTTTTTTTCCCCCTACTTCATCCTGTTTGCTCTGATTCATGTTGCTTGCTTCAACTCCCATCTATTAATTCAATAAACACTTATTAGGCACCTCCTATTTGCCAGGTTCTGGGAATATACCTGGCTACTAAGGAGGTTAGGTGAATAGTCAGATACTATATAGAGAAGTAATATATATTCAGAAGGGGATGGCAAAAAAAACAAAAAACATAATACTAGTGGTGGTAGAAGTAGCATTATCCTTGTAAGTACAGAGGCTGAATATAAGCTGAATGACAGCTATCTCTATGATATAGTAGAATCAACTAGAAATAATCCCATAGTCCTACCAGGTTTTTCCCCTGTGGGTTTGTAAAGGTAATCTTTTCTTTTCTTTTCTTTTTTTTTTTCCCAAATCAAAGGTGACAGAATCCCTTCTGGATTAGGAGCTTTGGCTCCCAAAAGCCACTATAAATGGAAACATGAATATATTACCTGGCATGAAAGGACCAGACTAACTGGGAAAGCTTCCTCCTCTACCTGTTCCCTGTAAGAATATTAGTACAGGTGATAGGCAGGTTAAATGTCTCGGTGTTACTAACCACAGGGAACTGTAGAGCAACAGAGATAAGAGAGCTCGGTGATGATAGCAGATTCCAAACAGCTCCACACTTGAATAGGGAACCTAGAGGGCAAATCAGACAGCAAGGGGACACAGAGCTGCCCAGGTCAGCAAGAGATGAGCAAGAAGACTACAGCAAACAAGCAAAAGGGAAGCAAACCATGTCTCCTGGTTCTTCCACATGCGAGATCACTCTGAGGTCAACTGAAATTTGCCATCAAAAATATACCAGATGCCCTCATGTTGTTGGAATCAAATCATTTCTCAAAGGCAAATTTTTATAGAGCGCTTTTTTATCATGTTGATAATTTTGATTTATTTTCTACGTGTACATTTTCAAATAAGTTCTAAATGATCTCCCATTCTTCCCAGCTACACAACCAAATTATAGCAAGGCAGTTACTAAATACATAGCACAAAGTTTGAGAAGCTCTGACCTTTGGCTTAATTTTATCCAACTTAATATTTGGGTTACTGCATTCATAGGCCAAAAACTAGCCAGCATTATAATGGAATTCTCTGGAGAGCACATTCAATAGTGAAGCCCGGAAGTAACAGTTCTCACTCTTAGCCCAGCATTGGAATCAACTCCCACATCACACCCCAAACCAATTTCATATTAGAGGTAGGGCTTAGGCCTTGATGTATTGTTTTGAAGATCCTCTAAATACTTCCATGTACAGCCAAGGCTGAGAATCTTCCTGCCTTAGAATGAACAGACAGGAAGCTGCTAGTGTCTTCTTCCATCAAGATTCTTCCATTATCAGTTTCTCCCAAGGAGCCAGCGTCAGGAAACCAGGATGTCCAGCTTGGACCTCACTTTCAAAGGTGTCCATGTCGACTTTCCCGCCTCATTCACCAGCTCTACAGTGACATAAAGGGTTGTGAACAGGACTTCATCGTGTTTCATCGCCATGCTCCAGGGATCCCACACGGTCTTCAAAAGCAAACAAGTACTTTAAAAAAGAAATCCTCCAAGCTTCTCTGTCTTTTCCCTCTCCTCTGTACCCATCTTTCTCCTCCCCCTTCTCTTCCTACCCCGGCTGTCTCCTTTGCCTGCTCTGGAGGCTCATGACTGTCCTTCTGTGTCCTTCCTCTCACTCCTGGTTCATCCTCCACTGCTATCTGGGCCTCCCTCTTCTTTCTGTATCTGTCTCGGTTTCTTTTACTGTCTATTCTCTTCCCACAGCACACAACTTTCTTCTTTCCCTTACAGCTCCTTAATTAACACAGAAAAAAGGCCTTGGCAGATATTTATAATTATTAAGCTATTTTGTTAATTTTAAAACAGATAAGTACTGAAAATATATTTCACTCATCAAAGAGATAAAAAATGCTCATAAAATACAAACCATAATGTGTGTGCACGTGTGTGTGTGTGTGTGTGTGTGTGTATTTTTTTTCCAGTACTGGGAATAGAACCCACAGCCTCACACAGGCTAGGCAAGCAATCTACCACTGAGCCACATTTCCAGCCCTATAATAATTATTTTAATAACTTCCTATATTGGCCCTAGGTTACTTTTTTCATGTAGTTCATTGACCCTCAATAGAAAAATGATTCTCTGTTCTCCAATAATTCTGACAGCAGCAGCTGACATCAATGTAGAAAGAGCAACAAGCTAAAAACAGTAGTTGAGTGTATACACCCTGAATTGCATATTCAGTTGCAAAATCATCATCATTATTATTGTAATTACAGAGGGGAGGCATTTCAATAATTGTTCAAAGTGTCTTCTTGAGGAAATAACTAAATCAGGGCCAGCTGTCACAAACCAATCTACAATAATGATCCCCGTATGTGCATCTTCAGTATTCATAGCAACGCTACAATAACAGATTTGTGCATTCATCTAATGTCCCTAAACAACCGAAAAAATAGCAAACCTATGATCAAATCTGATGTCTCACTTGGTGGTTGACCTATGTTTCTAAACAGTGTCCCTGAATAACCTTAGACTCATAAATAGCCAAACAAAAATTGCATCATCAATTTAATTACAAACTAGGGTGGGTGACCTAGCATCCACCTGCAATATGATGGCAGCAAACCTAGGTACATGGGGACAGTAGAAGGCAAGTAGGGAGATCAGCACACAACTAAAAATCTTCAGGAGAAACAGCCACCAAGACAGACATGTTTTATTGACTTGAAAATTGTAAACAAACGGGAACTGTGAAGGCCTTGTTTTTAGTTTACTTGTGAAATCAGCCAAAAGTATTTGAGATTTTCTCTTCCCAAGATACAGCTGTGAAATGACTAATAGGAATTAAGGGAGCCTGCACCAGGAACTGAATGTGCCACTTCACTGAGAACAAAAAAATGTTCCCCTGATAGAGGCTGTTCTCTCCGATGAATACCTTTAAGGAGGAGCAGTCAGGCATGGACATTGTGTATTTGTGAAACACCTTTGCAAAAATTTCCCATAGCTCAGTATCTTTGAATCCTGGTTATATATTTAATTTCATGTTCCTAAAGAAACTCTAAAGAGAGGGAAAGAAAGAGAAGCGGAAAGAAAATGTCTATCACATTACTTTTCCTTGCTGGACCACTTTGGCTTTCCAAATAGGAGTCTTGCTGAAAGCTGGGCCTGAGCCACATAAGGGTCATGACCTAAAGGAGCTTGCTAACTGCACCCATGTGACCTTCCTAGGTTTGAGAGTCTGAAAATTATACTCCTAGTTGCAGTGGCTCCTATCATTTACATATTTGCATCTTCAGCTAAAAGCAAGTTAACCCACACGCAACCTCATCTTGTTACTGTAATGAAAATGTTTCCTACAAACTTATCTGAAAGGGACACTGATTGACATTTTAAAAGTTGTTTATAAAGCACAATCTGTATATTTTTAACTGGGAAAGTAAGGCATGACCTTAATAAAAATAAACCAAAACTTCAAAAATGATTTAAAATGGAAGGGGAAAAAATTTCCTCCCCACTTTTATCATAGGGTAAGCACTGATAACTATTTCTTGTCTATTTTTTCCATGGAAGGATATATAATATATACAGGATTTTAACACAGAGCATATTGTATAATATGTACCCTGTACTTTATTCACTTAAAAATGTATCAAAAATATTTCCATGTCAGCACATATAGATCTTTGAATCATTGGATATGCCATGAATTTATTTAACCATCACCCCAATCAATGAATACTTAATTTTTTACACTTATACCATTATTATAAATAATGTTTCTATGAATATCTTTATATACCTATCATTGGTAACTTGTATGACTTTGCAGGATAAATTCCTTTCATTGAAATTCTATATTTTAATGTAAGCATATTTAAAGTTGGGTTAGTTGTTCCCAAATTATAACCCCAATGAAGTTGTTCCAATTCACATTTCCATCCACTGTGTATGTTCCACTATAACTTTGCTAAAATTAGATTTTATCAAACTTTAAACTTTTTCTCATAGAAAAAAATTTTAGCATGCTGTCATGAATTGCATTTTTCTAAGCACTAATGAAATTGAGCATTTTTTTCCGAGAAATTTTTGCCTTTCATGTTTTCTTTATGAAACATTTATTCATATTCTTTATCTGTTTTTCTGATTATTTTATCCTGGTAAGACTGTACGCTTTCTTTGTGCAATAAATAAATATGCACTTTTCTTTTTAATTTTTTTTTAAAGAGAGAGTAGAGAGACAGAGAGAGAGAATTTTTAATATTTATTTTTTAGTTCTCGGCGGACACAACATCTTTGTTGGTATGTGGTGCTGAGGATCGAACCCGGGCCGCACGCATGCCAGGCAAGCGCGCTACTGCTTGAGCCACATCCCCAGCCCAAATATGCACTTTTTCTGTTGGGTTGAGATAATTTTTTCTATTGGGTCGTTCATCCTTGGCTCTGTTGACCGTGTTTTCTTGCTGCTGTTCTTGTCATCATTTTTGTTTTTACCAAATAAAAGTTTTAAGTGTTTTACACAAATGCATTTGTCAGCATTTTCTTTTTTAGTTTCTGAGCTTTGCCTGTGTTTTAAATGTAAGCTGTCTTGATTTGGGTCTCTCTGCAGTTGTAGCTTGATTTGAATTCCACCACGTCACACGGTATAGATGAAGAAATTAGGTTTCCCTGTGGAAAGAGAAGACTCCTCCCATTGTCCCCAGGCAACTAGCTGGCCTCACAAAATCCGGTTAAGTTCCATGGAAGAGTACTTTACCCTCTTTTTGTCTCTGTTTTGTATATACAAGCTCGGGAACAGTCTTATCAGTAGAAGGAATAATCCGGCTATTTTGGCACCAAACAGACAGCCTGGATTTTGGTGCCAGAGTTGTCTGGGAAACACACACAAAGCTGCCCAGCACCTAGACTTTGGGTTCTGTGGGATATTACACAAGGGGAGAAAGGAGGCCAAGGGGTTCCACGGGAAGCTGAGTTTATGTAAAGTTCCTCAGGCAGGGAGAAGCCCCTTGCCTCAGCCCAGGCCTCCACACCTGGCTTGAGCTAGCTTATTGTTCAGGCAACACCAAATGAATGCTCAGATTCATTCAGAACAGACTGCTTCTTGCAACACGTTAGGTTAATAAGGAGTCAGGCAGTAGAAATGTGATGAGCTCTCTCCCCAACCCCAGCTTTTATTCTGAAAAATAAAAGGTTGAAAGAATGACTCACTAGATGCCCCTATATCCTTCACCTCAATTCAGCAATTAACATTTTTCACCCTTGCCTTTTCTATTTCTGTAATAGCCATTCTTATCTATGGAAGCATTTGAAAATACTTATAGTTGATAGTTCATTTTAAATAATTCAGTATACATCTCCTAAGAATAAGGGCATCCTATATAACTATGATACCATTCTCAGGCCTGGGAAAGTTAGTACTGATTCAACAATAATCTTTTAAGTTTGTATTTAAATGTCCTAAATTTCCCAAATGCCTTACATAGGCATTTTTTTTCTTCGATCCAAGATCTTAACAAAGTCCATACATTGCATTTGATTCTGTCTCTCTAATTCAGTGTCCTGAGATGGCCATTTAGCAACATCTGGAGACATTTTTGTCATGATTAGGGGGGCTACTGGCATTGTATTAGTTTATTTTCTGATGCTATAAGAAAATACCTGAGAGTAGACGCTTTATAAAGAAAAGAGATTTGTTTGACCCACAATTTTGGAGGCTAGAAGTCCAAGATCATATGGACCTATGTGTTTAACCTCGGATGAGTGCCCCCACGCTGCCTGCATCTCAATATGGCGGAGAAAAAGGAATCCAATATACAGAAAGGACCAATCACCCTTGGGCCATTTTGCTTTATAACAGCCTACACTTGCAAGAACTAACTGGGCTCTGGCAAGCATTACATTCATTAATCCCTTCCCAAGCCAGGGCCACTAAAGAACTAATCAACTTTCATTGGGCCCCACCTCTTAAAGGTTCTACCACCTCTCAACATCACCAACCTTACAACACAGGCACCTTTGAGTAACAAGTCTCATCCAGCCCATAGCAGGTTATCAAGTGGATAGAGACCACCGGTGCCTGCTAACTATCCTATGATCCACAGCCTCCCATAACAAAGCATTACCTGTCCAAAATGTCAATTAATGCCAAGATTAGAAAACCGTGTTCTAGTGTTATGACTGGGATACAAGGTGTCCCCCAAAATTTCCTGTGTTAGTGCAAGAATATTGAGAGGTGAAATGATCAGATCACGAGGTCTGTAACCTGATCCTAGTTTAAATAGTATAAATAGACTGACTGGGTGGTCACTATAGGCAGGTGGGGTGTGGCTGGAGGAGGTGGGTCCCTGGGGAGCGTACCCTGGAAGGGTGCATCTGCACTTCAGCCCCTTCACCTCTCGGCTTCCTTCCTGCCTTGAGTTGAGCCGCTTTCCTCTACCATACCTTGCCAAGAGGTTCTGCCTCACCGCAGTCCCAGAATGAATTACAAAGTCAGCCGTCCATGGACTGAAGCTCTGAAACCATGAGCCAAAATAAACTTTTCCTCCTCTAAGTTGTCCTTGTCGGGTATGTTGGTTACAGCAACGAAAAGCTGACCAACACATCTAGTTGATCTAAAACCGGCTCGAAATTTTGTTGTTGTTTTTCATGACTCTGATCCTTCTATACCATCAAAGCCAGTTGTTTTGTAGATTGTCCCACATGGTAATTTTTTCTGATTATTTCCTCAGGAATAGTTTCCATTTAACTAATAGCAAGAATATTAAATAGATGACTATACCAGCTGGTTACTACTGAGTAATGAGCTACCTTCTGGGAGGACAGGAGATGAGAAAGGGGGAGCATTCATTGAGACCTATGCTTAGACCAGGCACTCTGGTCACTTCAACAGATTTTGTTGGCAAAAGCAAGTAACAAAGCCAACCCAGAGTGGAATGGTAGAGAAGTACACTCTACTTCCTGTTGCAATCCATTTATCACAGTGATACTGAGTCCTCTTATTGCGCCATACCAGTATGTATACAGTGTCGTGTTGTCCCACTCTTAGTGATGTTAAAAATTTGATCCTTGGTTAAGTGGTCATGACTAATGTCTTCCACGGAAATCCTTATCTTTTCCATCATGTGGGGTGATACTTGGGTGCATGGTGTCAGTCCTTTTCTCCATTGTCTTGGCTTTCTGGGCCCATAGTAGCAAAGTACTTACAAATTGAGTCGCTGAAAACTATAAAAATGTATGAAGGCTGGAAGTAGGGGGAAGTGTGTTCCCTTGGGAATCTGTAGGGGCAAAGCCTTCCTTGCCTTTCCCAGCATTTGGTAGCCCAAGACGTTGTGTGGCTTGCAGCCTCAGCACGGCAGTTCAGCCTGCATCCTCACGTGGCATCCTCTCTGTGCCTGTGTTTTCATATGGCCACTTACCCTAAGTAAGGATACCAGTCATTTTGAATTAAGAACCTGCCCTACTCCCTATGGCCTCCTCTTGACTAATTACATCTGCATCAACCCTGTTTCCTAGTAAAAGCATATTAGGGGGATTAGGATATCAAAATTGGGGGTGGGGGAGGAGATAATTCAACTGGTAATGCCCATCACCTTCACTCAGTGGTTTTACTATCCACTGATAGTCTCTCCTTGCATTAGTTATCACCTTGCCGATTGCACAACTGTGGTTTTTTTAAAGTTTCATTGTCTCTTCAACTTTTATTAGCTGGCATTTTTCCAAAGAGAAGAAGGTTTGTTTTTCCTATTTCTCATCTTTCTCTCCTCCTTTCTTCTCTCCTTCATTTTTAGAATCATTTATGTTCATGGCTTTTTGCTTTGTATACGATCATTTTTTTTTCAATGCCACAGATTGAATCCAGGACTTCGTGCATGCTGGGCAAGCCCTCTGCCACTGAGCTATTTCCCCAGCCCTGCAACCATTCTTTTTATACAACCATACAAACAACATTTTCATGATCAAATTGTCTCAAGACTTGACTAGTGAGAGTCCCTAAGGTCAACTCTTAGGAAAAGAAAGAACAAATAAGTTGTTAAACTTTTTCAATATTTAAAAATTAAAACAGAAATATTGAATATGATCGCTCCAACTCACCCACTTCTACGGGACCCTTTTCTGTCATCCAGCTAAGACAGGCTTTTGTTTTCCTCCCGGAAGTTATGTGATTGTTCCCCAAGCTGATAGGTCACATTGTCATTCCTAATGTATAGCCATAATCAAAGTTGTCATTTATTGAGTGTTCTGCTTTACATGTATTTATTTGTAACTGTCACAGCAACTCTGTGCATAAGTAGTGTTTCTACATATTACAAATGAGAAATTTGAGACTTTTTAAAAATATTTTTTAGTTGTAGATGTACCTATAATTTTTACTTACTTATATGTGGTGCTGAGGATTGAACCCAGTGCCTCACACATGCTAGGCAAGCATTCTACCCTGAGCCACAACCCCAGCCCAAAAATCTGAGACTTAAAGTGAGATACTGGAAAGAACATGGATTTTGGTAACTGATGGTTTGAATCCTGACTCTGTCATTTATTGGTGTGTGATTTGGGCCTCTGCAGCCTTGGTTTGTTTATCTTGCTATCAGTGATGATGACATTTGCCTCATAGGTTGAGCCTAGCAGCTTATCTGACAGAGAGTAGGTGCTGTTAGTTTGCTGTTAGTTCTCTGTTAGGTAGCCTGATGAGAGGCTAGGACTCTCGGTCCACCAGCAACTAAACAGGATTCATCTATCTCATTAATTCTGAAGGTGCTCATTAGGAATGAAAGGTAGTTTAACCTAAGTTTCAGCTAAAGTTTGCCTTTAAGTATCTTTCAAGAAACAAACAACAACAAAACAGTTCATTAATCATTTTCTTAATATTGTAGAAAGGTGGGGCTGGGATTTAGCTCAGTGGCAAAGTGCTTGCCTTGCATGTGCAAAGCCCTGGATCTCCCCAGTTTAAAAAAAAAAAAAAATGTAGGAAGAATATCATGTCTATTCAACATAAGGGAACAACTTTGAGGAAGATCTTTAGCATGTTACACGCACATTAAGAAGCTCATATGGGGCTGGGGTTGTGGCTCAGTGGTAGAGCACTTGCCTAGTATGTGTGAGGCACTGGGTTCAATTCTCAGCACCACATATAAACATCAGCATCTAAAAAAATTTTTTTTTTAAAGAAGCTTATTTATAGCCAGGCACGGTGGCACACACCTATAATCCCAGCAGCTCCGGAGGCTGAGGCAGGAGGATTACAAATTCAAAACCAGCCTCAGCAAAAACAAGGCACTAAGCAACTCAATGAGACGCTGTCTCTAAGTAAAATGCAAAAATAGGGCTGGGGATGTGGTTCAATGGTTGAAACTCAGTGCCCCTGAGTTTCATCCCAGGCCGACCCCCTCAAAAAAAGAAGCTCTTTTATAAAATCACAGTCTTCAAAATAAACTCCAACTTTTGTCCATGTGGAAACAGTGGATTTCATTTGTCCCACAAATAACGATGGAATACATTCTAAGAAATGGGAGGTTAGGCAATTTTGTCATTGAGTGAACATTACAAAGTGTTCTTACATATTTAGAGCTCACTGTGATGTCACTCGGTGGTAGAATTTTATGACACAGCATCATATATGCAGTCCACTTTTAGACAAAATGTCTAGGTGGCCCATGACTGTAATATTGAGCGCCTACTGTGTTCCAGGCACCTGGGATACATCAGAGAATAAAACAAACATCCCTGCCCGCTAGTTGGAGGAGATAGGTGAAAAATAAACAGATTTGCAAATTAAATAGAGTGCTAAAAATAGGCGACTGCAAATGAGGAAAATAAACAAAGCAGGGAATGTATAGAGAATTGCAATTCTAAATAGGACTGACATTATTTAAAAAGTGATATGTGAGCAGAGACTTGAAAGAAGTGAGGCAATTGGTCATGTAGCCATCTGGAAGAACAATAAATACAAAGGCCATTGGGCAGGAGTATGCTTGGCCTGCTGGAGGCACAGCAAGGAGGCCAGTGTGCTGGAATGCAGTGGAGGAGGGGAAGGACTTTAACACTTCAAATAGCCTCCACTAATGGCACTGTTTTAAGCACTTAAAAAAAATAGTAGGTAGGCCTCCCAAAACTTATAGGATATGAACACTAATTTTCTCTTTTCCAGATGAGGAAACTAAGGCTCAGGAAGGTTAAATAACTGCCCCCCCAAATCATACAGCTATTTTGTGATATAGCTGGGTTTGGAACTGAGTGGTCTGTTTCCAGCCTTTAAGCACCAGAGGATGCTGCGTTTCTTCTTAGTAGTAAGAGGTAAGGTCTGAGAGGTGAGGACTAGATCCCATAGGTCACTGAGGACTATTGGGTAAAGACTTGGTGTTTAGGGCTAGGATGGGGTTCAGTGTCAGAGTGCGGTATGGGTGGGAGAGGTCCTGGGTGGGAAGGGAGGATATGGCATTTACCCTTAATGGTATGGGTCTTAGACAGAAGAGGGAAATGCATTTTTGTTGTCTTTTCAGAAATTTCCAAAGTATTTACATATTTTAGGTCTATATTACTCTTGGCATTTAATATGTTTCTAATAGATTCTAAAAGGTTTTGATTTATGGGAACAAAGAAAATATGATCTGTACCTTATCAATTACCATACATAAGGTAATCTCCTATTTTTTAAAAATATTTATTTTTTAGTGGTAGTTGGACACAATACCTTTATTTTATTTTATTTTTTTATTTTTTTTGTGGTTCTGAGGAGCGAACCCAGGGCCTTGCCCTTGTGAGGCAAGTTTCTACCACTGAGCCGCAACCCCAGCCCCATAATCTCCTATTTTTTGAAGTCTCTCTAGAACCTCTATTACATGATTCTAATGACAATCATGTACTTGGTGATGCTTTCTTGGGGGCACCAAAGCAAAGTATTTTCGTTTCGTTTAAGATTTTAAAAATAACTTTCATTTATATACTTTTATGTGGTGCTGAGGCTCTAACCCAGTATCTCACATGTGCTAGGCAAGCGCTCCACCACTGATTTCTAACCCCAGCCCTCAAAGCACAGTTTTGACTACAAACTTTTTTTTTCCTACTGAGAAGGGGAAAAAAGTATAAGAACAAATGGACCATTTAAGATACGTCCTATCTATATGCCAAAGGTGATGGGTTAATGTTGCTACCTTCTTAAGGAATAATGTATCAGTACCCTGGTTAGGCCACTGGCCCCTCTGGGGCTCCATGACCTTGAATATGGAGTGATCCTGAAGCAAATGTCATTGAGAATAATTAAAGGACTCAGGCTCCAGCAATTCGCCCATTTAAGGAACATTCGCCCATTTAAGGAACATTTAGGAGTAGCACAGTAGCGTCCTTATGCAGAAGAGAAGGTTGGGGAAGATTACAGAGTCATCTAAGAATCCTATTAATGAGCATCATAGTCACCATTTATTTAGCATTTTCTGTATTCCTGAACATGAGTTACCTAGTATCAGCCCCAAACATGTTATGGGCAAGGAAATGGTGGTTTAGAAACATTAATTGGTCAAAGTATACATCGTGTGACTCAAGCATAGCTCTGCTGGTCTCCAAAGCCCATGTTCCCACTCATCAGCTGTGCTGTCTAGGAATACAATCCTCTAGGGCATATGAATGTTTCCTCTGGAACCCTCAAAAACACGATTTTTCTAGAGTGGTTCCATCATTCTAGAGTGAATTTTCTTAACTTCAAGTGATTCTAGAGTGAACTTCCATAACAGCAAGTTTCCACCTTTGCCTTCTTCTCTCAGTTTATCAGCTACATCCTGGAGGCCTCAGCAGATGCTCTCACCACCATCTCACAAATCCTGAGTTGCTGATTCTGTCTCAGTCACTGCTGCAGCTGACTTGCTCTGTTTGGGCCCACAGAGTCCTGCTACCAAATCTGCCACTCTTCTGCCTGGCCCTCTCCCCTGGCTGTGCTCACCAGCTATCCACCACGCTGGTTTCTCACTCTTCCCTCAACCGAGATTAAAAGCCACACCACAGAACACTGGGTATGGCTTGCTGTGAAACTAACAGTGAGAACAGGGGCCAGGACCCAAAGTATGAGGAATGTCCTTCCTACTGGGGGTGAACTTGGACCACTGGGAAGTAGATGAGAAGGCATCAAGAAGATGGTTCCTTGTCCTTTCTCCTCTGAGTACTTACCTGAGGCATGGTGTGGCCATGCCACTCGTCTGGCAGTATTGTATATGGTGGCACAGATGTTCTTACTGCCTTCTGCCGATGACCCAAGCATCATAAGGCCGCTTCCCATCTTCTTCTGTCTCTCTTCCCTTTTTCTCTCCCTCTTACTGCCTGGGATTGCATCTCCTAAATAAAACATTACATTAATTCTTGGTTTGAGTTCTATTTTTTCTAGAAAACATGAGCTAAAATATTCAGGTTCAGTTTCTCCCAATGCAACCATCACTTCCTACATCTTCTTGGCTCAAAGCCAAAGCTTCTAAGAATGTGTTCCAAGGGGCTGGGGCTATAACTCAGTGGTAAAGTGCTTGCCTAGCATGTGTGAGGCACTGGGTTCAATCCTCAGTGCCCCATAGAAATAAAAAAAATAAAAGAATGTGCTCCAAAAGATAGGAATACCTGAAGGTAATATTGTCCATATTTTGAGGGGAATTTAAATATTTCCCTTCAAAACAATAAAAAAAATGCAACTTGTTTGGAAGAAAAGTAATTAAAAGGGTCTTTGGCACTAAAAAAGATACTGAGCCCCCAAATCCCCAAATCCTTTCATTTCTTGAGTGTCTTGAACTAGCTTTCCTCTTCCTTTCCAGGCCTGTCCTGGTTTGGGTCCCCATGATTCTCACTTAGACTATTACAATTGCTTCCTAATTTGTCTTTCTGCCTTCACATTCTCCACTCCTGATTTAACCTGAATACCACTGCCACCGTCAGGTAAATAGTCTTAGAACTGATTTTATCTTGTTCCCACATGTTCTAAAACCTTTAGTAACCTCTCACTGCCCATAGAATAATGCCTAAAGTGCCCTCTAAGACTAACCTCAGATGACAACAGCAAAAGCCAGGCACTCAGGACCTTCCATGCGCTTTTGCGACCTACATCTGCAGCTATCAAACCAGCTATTATATTCCTCTATTTGATTTATGCCTCCAGCTAACCTAGGAAGCTTACTTTTCCCTAAGTATATATTTTCTTTTTCTGCTATTGATGTGGACAACAAATATACCTGTGGATCTTGATAACCCACTCCTCTCCCCTACAAGTGTCACAATGCCTGTCCCACCCATAATCCCTTCTAGGGGTTTCTAATTGGACACTGAATTGTGTATCATCTTCTTCTGCCATCCCAAACAAAGCCTCGCAGGCCTGGAGGGGGCACCTGTCTGGGCATTAAGTCCATGCTGATGAGATGGTTTGTTTAGAAAGCTCTGCCCGGTAGCCTGCACCTGATGGTGAACCATCAAGCCAGTCGGATCCTTTCGGGGAGTAGAATATGAAATCCACTGGAGGGAGTCAGCTGTTAGCAGGGGCAGAAGCTAGAAGATGCATGGAGGGAAGGAAGAAAGCTGAAGTCAGGTGGCAGCAGACACCAAGAGGCAGTAGAAGCTGTGAGACAGAGAAAAGAATAGCAAGTACCAAGAACAACAGCAGCCACAGCAGAGTCGAAGCAACAGCAGATAATCACAGTCCAGCAAGAGATATTTACTGTCAAAGAGCCCACAGGATGGCCCAGTTGCTACGGCTGTACTGTGTGCTGACCATCTTCCAGTGCCCACTAGTCATCGCTTGAATTTATTTTATTTATTTATTTATTTTTA